CGGCGTCCCTCATAATCATATGGTGGTTTTCAGACGTTAAACCCCACATATCAATCAAATCTAATCTGGTCACGAAGTTCAAGTTGGTTCGTTCTTTCCTTTGTAACAATACCAAAACACAGCAATAATCGAATCCACAAGTGCAATTCGCGGCCTACAAGTACGAAGAGTAGGCAAATTCGTGTGCTACCCCTCATTCCCTTGGTCGCTGAATGATTGACGCGCCAAAGTCCCCTCTAGTTAATTTTGGGATAGGAACTTTATGGGTACAGCAGCGCTACGCTAGCAGAGCGCGACAGGAGGCGCGTCCCGGTGGCCACCTAGCTGGCAGCGGGCCAGGGCACCGATGGAGGGACGGATGGATAGATGGATGTGAGCATGAGACATTAACAGGCTCTCACCTAAAAAATTCACGCATGTTCACGAAGTGAAAGATGACGAGTGGTCGAAGCTCCGGGTATCGTATCAGTGAGTAACTGTACGTTGCTGGAGCATATGTTCCAATCATGCATTGACCTCGCCAGCTACTAAAGGTTCTTTGCATGTTGAGTAAACTCACGGTAATCAGACGACCTAGAGAATTCTTGCTGCAGCACAGAGAGCAGACAGAACAGCTCGTGGCTGTTCGCTTCGCATGTTGCCGATTTTCGCCAACGCGTTGCTAAACCACAGCCGACCGTACACTTCACAGCTGTACCTGAAAACTCTGTCTAGAAAATCCCGCTTGAACAGGACGTTGGGGTCTCGCGCCTCCTTCAGACGACGTTTTTGCGTTTCGCCGCTGCTAGTCGTGCCCTCAACTCCGGGTGTCGCACGATTTCTGGCGTTTCGACGCTGCTTGCTGCGCTTCCACCTCTGGCCTGCGTCACCGTTGAGCTGCCGCTTCCTTTTCTCGCAATTCCGGATCAGAGTGGCGTCTGCATCGAAGTTGCCGTTCGCGAGAGAGAGCACATTCCTTGTACTCCTGGTCAGCGTCCATTGCAGAAAGATGACATGGCACGGATGCTATATTTAGGGGCGAAGCTCCTCATGGTGAGACGTGGCTGGTGCTTGAGTGGCGTCGATCGTCAACCATCCTCTGTACCCTGTAGCGTCTTCCACTTCATACAATATATGATGCTGTCTAACAGAAATGAATACGCATTCCATTTCTCGTCTCGTTTTCGAGAGGGCGCTCTCCCATAGACATGCGTACAATATGGTGGTCGGGTGAAGGTACGCTAGATGGCGTTGGGGGTGCAGCTGCTCTCGGAGTGGCTGTCCAAGATAGATCCCGACACATACGCACCACAGTGAAGGTTTTGCGTCACTAAAACAGCCACCATGTACCACGTCGTATGGTAATTCCCACACAATTTACCTCTACAATCCAGAGCATGGCACAACACTGTAGGGTGGGAGGCAGCTCTGTCCAGCTCGGATCCGAAGACCCAAGAGGCCCTCGTGAGACGAGCGAGGACAGCGGCCCGTGCCAATGGGATCCCGGACTAAGGAGCCCACTCACCGACACACTTTCCTCGGTCGCAAATAAATGTTTTATTCTCTCGCTTTCGAGTGGCTGCTTCGCGGGGCTCTGTCGGCACGCCCGTTATCTCTCATTCTCCAGGATCGTCGCCGTACGAGTGTGCTTGCTGGATCGCGATGCTTGGCGAACCATGGATGACAATGAGCACCCGGTGCGGAAGGCCGCTGCGGCTCGTGCTCGTAGGCAGAATACTGGGGTGCGGACGGATGGGCGCACAGACGGACGCACAGACGGATGGACGAAAGCACGGATGGACGGATGGATGGACGAACGCACAGAAGATTCACCCTACTCATCATCACTCACTCCAAGAGTATGCTGTAATTTTTTAAATTTAATTTTCATCGAACGCATGCCGTTCCATATTTCGACAGCGAGAGTCGACAACAGAGCTAGGTCCCCAAGGTGCACCGCACCTAGTCTAAAATCCAACAGCATCCTTAGCGCTGTCACTCAGTTTTAATAGGGCACTCAGTAAGTAGGTACTCAATTTTTGTAGCATAATCTATACTGAGCCGAGAATAAGCAGTTTCGCATGACTTACGGGGATGACTTCTGCGCAAGCACGATGATCAGTGATGGCACACGGCACACAGTTGGCGTGCTTGAGAAGGCCTGGACGCTTTGGAGTGACGTGCCACTAGTGGGCTGATGCTTGACCTGCGCGAGATTGCTTGCACGGTAGTCCGTCCGTCCGCCATCCATCCATCCATCCATCCATCCATCCATCCATCCATCCATCCATCCATTCATCCATCCATCCACCCATCCATCCGTCCGTCCGTCCGTCCGTCCATCCGTCCACCCATCCGTCCGTCCATCCGTCCGTCCGTCCATCCGTCCGTCCATCTGTCCATCCGTCCATCCATCCGTCCATCCGTCCGCTCGCCTGTCCGTCTGTCTGTCCGTCCGTCCGTCCATCCATCCATCCATCCATCCATCCATCCATCCATCCATCCACCCATCCACCCATCCATCCATCCATCCATCCATCCATCCATCCATCCATCCATCCATCCATCCATCCATCCATCCATCCATCCGTGGTTTGTCCGTCTGTACGTCCATCCGTGCTTCGGCCGTCTATCCTAGGTTCATCCATTCGATGGCCGTCTGCCACTCTGTCCATCTATCTATGGTTCGTCCGTCCATCCTGTTGTAGCCGGTGAGCAAGGCGACGCTGGACTCAGTTGGTGGCGAAGGTTTAATGTGATAAGCAAGCGGCTTGCATATGCCAATATAAGTACAGGCACATGACGTAGCCTGTGACGTCAGTACGGCGCGTCATACGTTGGCTACTACATCTCTTCCCCTTTATTTAGCAGCATAGCCAAAACGTTCGGGAGGCTTTCGAATTCTTGTGCTTCGTCGCAATTCAGGTGGCGCGACGTTTTCTTGGGAGCTGGCGTCAGGCGCCTGCTGTGACGGCAGTTCCATCACGCTGGCTCGGTCAGGTGGCGGAAGTCGTTGCTCTGGTGCAGGCCCGTCCGGCGGCGATGCGGTGTCGCTGTCGCTTTGTGACGGAGTGGAACCCGGCTGTGCCATGCGGGTTTGCACAGGAATCCACACGCTTCTGGGAAGAGGAGCAAGGCATGTGTTAGGAACAATACCGTCCGCATGCAGAAAGCACTCGTGGTCTTCGATTCGGACTATGTATGTTCCTTTGCTAACTCGTCGCACAACTGTTCCTTCCAACCAACGTAGATCACTCGGTCGGTTTCCTCGCACATGAACGTTGTCGCCAACCTCGAACTCCCTCCATGAAGTATGGGTTTCCTGACCCTGTCTTCGAGCTATATTTGCTTCGGCACGTTTCGCTAGCTCTGGATGCAACATGCTCAGCCTCGTGCGTGGCCTCCATGAGAGAAAGAGTTCGGCTGGCGTCGTACCGGTCGTCGAACACGGTGTGTTTCGGTAGGTGAACAGGAACTGGTCTACCCGACGTTGCATCGTCCGAGTCACTCCTGTGTTCTACTCGTCCCGTAGCTGTTTGATGAAGCTTCGCTTGACGGTCTGGACAAGCCTCTCCGCCGTGCCATTTGAAGCTGGGTGGTAAGGTGGTGTCTTGGTGTGCTGCGCTGCATTGGAGTTGAGAAAATTTGTGAATTTAGCAGACACAAATTGCGGCCCATTGTCAGTCACAATTCTCTCGGGAAGCCCAAGTGCAGCAAAAACAGTGCGGAGTTTTTCAACTGTTGCCTGTGCCGTAGTGGACTTCATGTGCAGAACATCCACCCACTTGGAGTGCGCATCGACAAGCACTAAAAACCAGTCGATCTTGTAGTAGGCAAAATCCAGGTGAACTCTCTGCCACCTGCGGGTTGGCCATCCCCACGATAACATCGGCACGTGGGGCGCAGAGTTCTGCGTTAGTTGGTAAGTTGAACAACCTCTTACAGTTTCTTCAATGCGGTCGCACAACTTTGGCCACCACACATGGCTTCTTGATAGCATTTTCATGCGAGTGATGCCTGAATGCCCTTCATGCAAAAGCGATAAGACTTCAGATTGTACCGCTTCAGGTATAACAACCCGAGTTCCCCATGTTATGCAAGCACAGTCTACCGACAGTTCGTCTTTCCGCGAGAAAAATGGGGCTACGTTGTCTTCTGACACGTACGATGGCCATCCATTCAAAACAAACATCAGCACCTTAGACAAAACTGGGTCTTTTTGGGTTTCGTCACTGATCCTTTTCGCAGATAGTGGTACGGCATCTACTGCTGAAAAGAAGTGAACGTAGTCGCTTTCGTCGGGGTCGTTCGGAAGCGGTAATCGCGATAACGCGTCCGCGTTTGCTACTTGGGCTCCCTTTCTGTACACCCATTTGTAGCGATATGCAGCTAGCACTAGCGCTGCATGCGTGCTGCTGCCATTTGCTGAATTGGCTTTGTTTGCCCCAGCAGTCCCTCCAGGGGAAGGTGATCGGAATAAATGGTGAATTCACGGCCGTAAAGATACTTGTGAAACCGTTTAATTCCGAAAATCACAGCCAACGCTTCCTTTTCTATGTGTGCGTAGCCACTTTCGGCCTTTCTCAAAGTGCGTGACGCATAAGCTATCGGCCTTTCTTCCCCGTTCACGACATGAAACAACACTGCGCCAACCCCGTAAGGAGAGGCGTCGCAGACTAATCCAAGAGGCTTTTTTGGGTCATAGAATGTTAGCACGCTCGCTTGCGTAAGGAGGCTCTTACTCTCCGCGAAGGCTTCTTCTTTTGCGGACCAGACCCACTTCTTATCCTTCTGAAGCAGTGCATACAAAGGCTTTAGCCTAGAAGACATGTTTGGCATGAACTTAGAGTAAAAAGTTATCATGCCGAGGTACGCTTTAAGCTCACTGACGTTCTTAGGTGTGGGTGCTTCCCTTATGGCTTCAACCTTCTCGACGCACGGGTACACATCATTTTCGTCAATGATATGCCCAAGATATTTGACAGAATTCAAGAAAAACTTGTATTTTTCCTTTCTCACTTTTACGCCGTGGTCTCGAAAACCTGCAGGACTGCTTCCACCCGGGCCAGGCATTCGGTATGCGATGCTCCCGTGATGAGGACGTCGTCGAGGTAGCATACCACTCCCGGTAGTCCTTTCAACAGCTCGTTCATGATTGCCTGGAAAACTGCAGGTGCACTTGAGATTCCGTGCGGCATTCGAACATACTGGAACAACCCCATGTGAGAGTTTATAGTCAGCAAAGGTCGCGAGTCAGGGTGCACCTCGATTTGCTGATATGCCGTTGAAAGGTCCAGAACGGTGAAAACCTTGCCCCCAGCCAGTGTCGTGAACAAATCCTCCACCGTGGGCAGTGGGTAATGATCGGTCTTCACACATGGATTCACCGTCAATTTATAGTCTCCACACAATCGTACTGTGCCGTCTGGCTTGTGAACAGCTACCAGTGGCGTGGTCAGTCGCTGCGGGTTACGGGCACCAGTACGCCCTCTTTTTGCAAGTTGCCTAGCTCATGCTCGACAGGTTCACGAATGGCATACGGCACAGACCGCGCCTTGCAAAAGACTGGCATGCTTCCTTCCTTAAGCACCAGTTTTGCTTGGTAACCCTTTATCAACCCTAAACCAAGTGGAAAAACGCTGGCATACCTTGACAGGATGCTGTCGACAGACGGTTGTGCGTGCACCTCGTGAATGCTGTTTAGGTCCATTTCGACGTTCGCAATCCAGTCGCGGCCTAGGAGTGCTGGCTTCTCTCCTGGTACCAAGATGATTGGCAGGACTTTCCGCTGTCCCTTATAATCGACCGAAACCTCCGCTTGGCCTTTCACTTGTAGCGTCGCTCCGCCGCAAGTCTTGAGCTTCATCTCGCACTTCGCAAGCTGCGGTGGCTGCTTTAGCTGCCGGTAAATGCATTCCGGAACGAGTGATACGGCTGCGCCCGTATCTACTTGCATCTTCACAAGCTGGCCGGCTATCTGTACTTCAGCTTCATATGGTTGTTCCGTGCGCACCAGATACACACCGTGCAGCAGCAGCTCTGTGCCTCTGCTCGCTTCGTCACTCACGTTGTGGACGGTGCCAGGCGCCGGTTGCTTGCATCTGCACATGCGTGCCAAATGTCCCACGCGCTTGCAAAGATGGCATTTGAATTTACGATAACGGCAGCAACGGGCGTCATGCTCTTGACCGCATCAATAGCAGCTTTGCATTGAACTGTTCTTCGGCTTGCTGGCAAACTCCGGTTCCTTCCCCGTCTTCTTTAGAGCGTGAATGTCGGCATCCGTATTCGCAGTTGGTCGGAATCCCCTCGACTCTCGCTCCGCTAGCTCAACGCTCTTAGCAAAAACGCAGGCCGATTCGAACGTCAGTTCCTTCCTCTTCAGTAAACCCGTCTGAATGGTGGAATTCCGTAACCCAGCGACGAACCGGTCCCGTAAAGCGTCGTCGAGAAACGTACCGTAGTTGCACTTGGCTGTCATGTGCTTCAGCGTGACTGCAAATGCCGCGACGGACTCCCCTTTTCCTTGGTACCTCCTGTTGAATTTGAAACGCTCCGCAATGACTTGACTTGAAGGCTCGTAGTGGCCACTCAGCACTTTCACCAAGTCCTCGAACGTCTTCTCTTCAGGTTTTGCAGGTAGAAGAAGGTCCTTGAGCGTCTTGTACGCTTTCTTTCCTATGGCAGAGATGAAGGCTGACTTTTTAAGTTCTTCGTCTTGTACGCCGGCTACTTTGCAATAGTGCCCAAACCGTTCTACATACAATGCGAAATATTCGTCTCCTTCTTCTATGAAGGCGTCAAATTCCCACATCTTCCCCATACCTTGCCTTTCGCCTTCCAGCTGTCGTTGCTCACAGGATCCGCCCCCGTCGTTCGGTGCAGCCTATCCTATCCTCGTCGCCATCTGTTGTAGCGGGCGAGCAAGGCGACGCTGGACTCAGTTGGTGGCGAAGGTTTAATGGGATAAGCAAGCAGCTCGCATGCCAATATAAGTACAGGCACATGACGTAGCCTGTGACGTCAGTACGGCGCGTCATACGTTGGCTACTACACATCCATGATTCATTTGTCGGTCCCTCCGTGGTTCATCCATCTGTCATCCGTCCATTCATACGTGGTTAATTCGTCCGTAGCTCATGCTACGTATATCCTGGCATAGCCGAGCTAGCTTTTATTAGCACACTGTAGCCGAGCTCAGCCGCTGCTAATTTTTAGCGGGAGGTGGTGGCCCCCTATCTTGACTTAGCGGAAACAGCTGGATTCCAGGTTCGAGCATGACCAGGCGCCGCGTGGTCGAATGGGTCAATTAGGTCACGTATTATGCTTTCGTTAGTCTTTTTTGTTCGCAATAACGTACGTGTAGCTCGGCACATTTTTCAAGTGTAACTGTACTACTTTTCCATGATATTCAAGCACCACGAATCTGCAGGCCATAAAGAAGATTGATCAGAAAGAATGCGTTGCCCTCTGAATTCCTGGCTGTATGAAGTCAAGAGAAAAAATATTTCATGCGGAGGCAGTCATCTCTTGAGAGATTTTCGCGAACATTGGCACGAGAGGCAGCAAGTAGGCTTCTGTATGATAACCATTGGTTTTAAGGCTTGCTACAGCAGCAATCTGATTCTAGGACGAGCTGTTCTGTGCATGTTTTGCTACGTATACTATCAATACATTTCGATACATGCCTAATTGTAATGGCATTGGTTTTGTTTTTGCTTTTGCTTACGGGGGATTATTTTTTTACGTGGAACTAATCCTAGGCAGAATCGCTCTTTGCGCGCAGGAAGATAATTTATCATCACAACCCTACTTTTTAATGTGTGTGCATGCTTCCAGAACTTTCTGCTGCCAAACCATCAAGAGTGCGTCGAGCCTGCCTACTGTAATGCCATTGGATGAATAAGAAAATAGAAGCATAAACTTTGTGAGTTTCAAATCAAATTTGGTGCACGCAAATAAAGATTTCACTTGTATTTTTTCAAGTGAAGTAAGTATCAACAGTACCTCAAAACTTAATATAAGCATCTAATAAAATTTAACCAGTGAAGAAAAGTTCGCATGTATATAGTGTTGTTTTTTATGTCTGCACATATGGTAAACATAGACAGTGCCTCAAATCTTAAAGTAAGCATCTTAAAAAGAAACTTCACAATGGAAAGCTTTTGTTTGTACATATCTTTGTGTACTGCAGACAAACACTTTGGTAGGAGCAAGATAAAAGCTCATAATATGTAGCGCTATGAATATAAATAATAAGCTATTCACTTTGTTGCAAAGTAAGAAATCGAGAGCATTAGTAATATAAGAATATTGTAGCTATTGCCAAGTTCTTATGCTGTCACCAGTTCTAATTAAGACACTCGCATTGCAGTGAATTCTGCGCCTGTGGTGTTCACAGAGAAATGTTATATTTGAAAGTATTGCTAAGAGTTTTCAGAATAATCTGGTATCACTAATGGATGATAATGTTTATATCTGATGTGTAGTGTTCTATGTGGCTGTAATTGATGGATCGTAAGGGGTAGATATTTTCTTAGAAAGAAGGCAATCTAGGTAGCTGACCTCTATTACGGTGTTAGCAAGAGTTTGTGTGCTTGCTAAACTAAAGAAAACCTCGTCACCAGTTGTATTGGAGGACTAGTTTGTTGATTTTAGTACACAATTGCGAACTATTTACAATGAAAACAAAATCTTCAAGAACACAAACAAAGCAGATTAAGTGCTTTATCTGTTTAGTGTATTTCATGCTATGTTTTTCCTGATAGTGTCCTTTTGGTGCTTGCCAAAGTGCCACTTCTATTTTTCTTGAGCTAGTCGGATGTGCGTGGCTGCGAGCTCCCTGCCTTTTTGCAGTCGTTCACGCACTGCCGTGAAATAGGTTGATTCTTCTTTGAGCTCTTCAAGCTCTCGGTGGCTGTATGTATACAACATGCAATGGTAGCACCGGATCCCTACCGTAGACCAGGAAGGAGGTAGTTTGGCGAACCGTGTCTTGGTACCCGGTGTTCTAACAGAATACAATATAAGGGAGGACAATGAGCCATTTTTCTCGCCCGGTGGTAGTCATGGTAATTATCTGTTTGGTCGTCTTATTGGCTCTTTCGCAGAAGCCGTTTGCTGCGAAGTAATATGCGGTAGTGGCAGCATGTCTGATGCCCCGATATTTGAACTATGCTTCGGTAGAGCGCGCCATCCTTTGGGTACCGCGGTCTGTGATAATTGTGGCATGAAATCCGTGTTTTAAGATGATTCGTCGTTCAACAAACTTCTAAACGGTTGCGGCTTCTGTGTTCCGGAGAGGTTTTGCCTTCACAAACTTTGTGAATCAATGGCTACAATGATGTACTTGTAACCTCTTGAAGCTTTGAATGACCCTATTATGTTCATATTAACTGTGTGAATCGGGCTGTGAACTTCTATTGGCTCTAATATACCGTAAGGCATTGATGTCGACATCTTCAACCTCTGACAAAGATCACAGTGACGCATGTACCATCTGCCATCTGCATAGAGCTTCGGCCAGTAATACTTAGACCTTAGGGCATCGAATGTTCGCTTGATGCCCATGTGGCCACCGTATCGCCCTTCATGCATTTCACGGAGTGCCTCACCTTGTCGTTGTGCAGGAAGGCATAGGAGAAATTGTCTGCTGGCATGACTTTGGTCTCTTTTGAACATCACGCCGCTATTCGTGGTAAATTTATTTAGCACCCGTTTCTGTTACTTTTTTGGGCCGCACCGCTAAGAATATTCAGGACTTTAGTGCAAAATGCATCTTGGCGCTGCTCCTCACCCATGATGTCACAGAATCGCAGTGATGGATATGATACTGTAATAATTGGTTCAGCATCAACAACAATGGGAGGATTCCTGGAAAGACAATCTGGTGCGCTGTGTAGGATTCTTGATTTATAGATGACATCAAAGTCAAATTACTGCGAAATCAGTGACCTACGGATAAGGCGTTCGTTTTCTTCCTTGTTGCACAAGACCCAGCACAGTGCATGGTGGTCGTTGAGAACGTGAAATTTTTGGCCTATTAGGTATAGTAGTAGCTCTTCTAATGCCCATTTTACTGTAAGAGCTTCTAGTTCTGTCGAAAAATAATTAAACTCTGCGCCTTTGAGAGACCGACTCAAGTATAGCACAGGACAATAGCGTCACTCTTCATCTTCTTGTAGCAATAGAGCTCCCAAGCCGAGCCGACATGCACCTGGGTGCACTTCGACGCCGAGTTCTGGTTTTTCAGAGAATAGCTTAAGGACAGGCGGCTGGCACAACACACGCTTTAATGTCTCAAATGCCACTTGTTGATCTTCTCCCGAAGAAAAAGTAGCGTTTTTCATTTTTCAGTAGCATTTAGGTGTAATTTACAAGGTGCTGCGATAACGCTGTAATTCGAGATAAACTTCCTGACGTACAATGTGATCCAGATGAATGGATGTAGTTCCTGTACTTTTCGAGGAGGCCGGGAAATCTAAAGCGCTGCCAGTTTCGATGAGCCAGATGATACTCCATCTTTTGTGACAACGTGCCCAAGATAACTGATGGCAGTACAAAAAAGAAACACTTCTTTGGCTTGAACATCAAGGCTGCTATTTCGAACCTTGTAAATATGTTCTGAAGGGGCGAAATGTGTTCTTCAAATGTCCGGCTGAAGACTACGCAGTCATCCACATGCACAAGGGCATTGTCGTATTCAATACCGTACATGATAGTATCCACGGCTCGCTGACATGTGAATGGGGTACCTTTAAAGCATAATGGCCTCCACAGGGATTTATAAAGACCGCAAGGCGTAACGAAGGCAGTCTTCTGTATGTCACCTGGATTCATGGCGATCTGATAAAATCTAGACACCAAGTCCATAACAGAAAAGTACTTGCTTTCGGTGAGCGCCTGCAGTGAATCTTCGATTCTTGGAAAAGGGTACACAATGTCCTCGGTGACGGCGTTGAGACGTCGATAATGAAAGCACATGCACATCTTTCCGTCTTTATTTGCTACAAGGACAAGGAGTGATGCCTAAGGACTCCGAGAAGTCGCACTATAATGATATAGTTGAGGTTTTTGACCATACTCTTGACGAGACCACGCTGTGCTGGTGACAATCTGCGAGGACGTCGCGATATTGGCTTTGAGTTTCTAGTTGGAATGCAATGTCGTTCAACTGTGCAGGAGCCCACATCTGTACTTGACTGTGCAAAGAAAACCGAATGTTGCGCCAACAAATCCTTTACCACCCGCAACTCATTGGAAGATAACGTTGTTCCAATGTTAAAGCTGACGTCTCCCGTCGCGATTGAATGGTGCTGCGTATAGACGACCGTATGAGCTGGTGGCGCATCACAGTCCTCATGAGAAGGCGGGCATGACACTTGGAAGATCTGTTGGCAGTCCTCTCCAGAAAACTCAATATCCTTAAGTCTCCTTATTTCTTCAAACAGACAAATTGTCATCTTATATCGAAGCACGACAGCTTGAGAAAACCAGTTTGTGATCAAAACCTTCGTTGTATTTTCCGATGCATTTGTTACCGTGGGCTCCACTATGGCTGAATAGCAGTCGTACAAGAGCTTCGTCCCTGTGATGACCATTAAATGATTTTCATCTTCTGACATGCGATGCCAGGCCACAGGAACTAATTTCCGCCATAAGGCTGGCAGTGGTTGCTCCCTAATTAGGTAGACCTTGCGTAGCCTTTGGGGGACCGATACCGCGAAGCTCTACGATCCCAAGTCGATGACGGTTCTTGAAGCCCGAAAAAAGTCATTGGCTAACAGTATTCCTTCGTGAGGTAATTAAATCGGG